CTGAAAACTGAAGCTGTTTTTTAATGCACAAGTAAGTATCTTTTTTCGTTATTTAGTAGAATTTCAAGATCAAGGGTTGATTTCTGGTGATTTGATTTTAAATTCGGCTTTTGCTCAATGGGTTTTTGTGAGTTTGTTTATTGTTTATGAAAAAAAAACAATATCCTGCTCTACATGTTTCGGCTGCGGGCTGCAGCCATAATTCATGAGCTGTGAAATTATTTTGACAAAAATCAGTACATATAAATTAATTGAAAAGTATTTTCTTCAAATAATAATTTTTTTTCAAAAATTTTGACAATTATGTTCGGATTGTTAGGAAATATTTTTATAAATTTAATTTTTACAATTATTTTTGGTCAGAATATGAGAAACGTGCTTTTGAGCGTACCTTTCTCGGTGGAGGTTGAGAGAAGTCAAAATTATTTTTCGTTTTTTCAGGTAGAGCAGGATATTGTTTTTTTTTCTTGGATAAAAAAAACTTTTGAAACCCTTCCAGGAAAATCTGAATTTAAATTCAATTACCATGTGTCTTTCATTCGTTCAAATTTAATTGATTAATTTTTTTTCAATAATTGTATGGTTTGGAAACTCATCAATAAGAATAAGAGTGTAATCAATCAGTAGAAGCAAACAAACAAAAATAAATCGTGCATTCCGCATAGATAGTTGATTGATTGACTGGCAGTTGAACCACAACGCGGAGCGAGCGGAGAGAAAGACTTTCACTGCCAGGGTGTGGCTGTAAACTTGAACACTCGACCATGAAGCGCGAGCTCCATTCAAGGGGATTCGAATTCATGAGCCAGCAGATAATAATTACAACAAACGTCTTTGTCACTTGGCAATGAGCGATTTAATAACCGACCAAACGCCGATATCAACCTACAGGAAACCGACAGCGAACCCCTGGCGAGAGGTCGCGCGAATTTGATTGAGCCCTGATTGAGTCGCCGCGGTTTTAATGAGCGGAGTAATGTCAACATATTTGCATACTTATTTGGCAGTGGAGTGTCTTGGGTGTGGGACTTTTATGTCCATTTTGACACATCTAATTAAAGATCTAAATGAGCCTTGAGTCAAGTCATTATTCTAATTTAGTTTGATTTAAGAGGTCAACAATGATTTTTAATTCCAGAATTATAGAATAAAGCACTACTTTGTCAGTTGAAATATAGCATTGAATAAATAATAGCTAATTAAATAGATCGCGAGAACTAATAAATAAATAAATTAAAAATATTAAATGATTTGTGATATTTTTAGAAGACTGCATATGATGCAACATAATTATAATGGAGAGAAAAGTTCCCATCTGAACCAAATTTTGGGATCGTGTGCTTTCTCACGCCGCGAGACGTTGAAAATCGTGAGTGATGATCCCACTTTATAGGAATCAAGACACTCTCGATTATAAACTAAGTCAAGACGAGTGTGTTTGTTACTCAATAGCAACTCTCGGGCGGCAGAGTTTTCATCAAACAGCGCTGCCGGAGTAAAATCTCGAGTTACTGACCTTTGAGTCACGAGAGCAACAGGTGCTCTTTTTATTTACGCTCCTTCGCTTTTTATAATCTCGCCTTGGATGACTTTTAATTGAAAATAAGAGCACGGAATCAGCCTCTTTGTTATATTATGCAAACCCTGGCCTGGTTTTCAGCACCACTTCTGCATTTCAAATTCAATATGCAAAGAGAACAGCAGGAAACGAAGGCACTCAGGTTTAAAATTTATTCATTAACCAAAGAATACAATCTCTAAGACTTAAATTGTTTTAAATTTAATTTTTGTCTAATTATAATAATTACGCTCCGGAAGAAGAGAAATGTATCAAGATCATTTTAACGCTTAAAAATGGAAAGTGCATATACAATTTTCACCGTAAATCCGAGATTATGTCACACTTTTGTGAATATATGTGATGGATTAAAAAAGCAAAACGGAAGAGAAATGGACTTTTACGCACACACAAAAACAAGCGTTCTTCTCTGTCGTGTGGGTCTGCAAGCAAAATAAACCTCAGAACGCACTTTCGCCAACATTTACTATAATTTTTCTTTCAAACGCCACGGGTGAAAAACTACGCCGCAGAAATATCTCTTCACAAAATTAGTATATTTTTTATAATCTGCAAAAAAATAAGATTCAAAAGTCCCCGCGAGCGAAACACATTTTGCACGAGGCCAATCGGTAATTGACTCCATTGGCAACGTTTTTATTCCCACACATAAGTTCAGGAAGCTGAATGAAAAAAGGGGCTGAGGCACGATGATGGCATTTCACGACATGTGAATTTTTAATTGAATCCTGGTGTGCTGGAATAAAATTTTCCTTGTAGAAATATATTAAACTTCCCCTTTTTCATGGAATAGGCGCGGTTTTAGTTGAGGAAACAAAGTAAATTGTGCCACAAATAAGAAATTGGCGGCGCGAGAAGAGAGCAATAATGAAAACAATTCCGTCGGCGGCATTGAAACTCGAGCGCGTAAATTGAATTAAACGATCCGGTTTTAGCGGCGCAACAGAGTTTGCATGGGAGTCGATGCGGGATCAATTGAAACGGGAGCTTTCTCGCCGCGAGCGGAAAAGTCTTTGGTACTTCTCGATGGCGCGCGTCCGGCCGCACACATCGCGAGAGAGAAAAACCGAACCGAGTGCGCGGCTCCAATATCGCGACACTTTCTTTCTTTCAAGCTCATTTCTCCTCGCGGCTCCACCTGCCTCAGGAATGTTCCAGCGAAAGTTGGCTGTTCGTTAGTTAATTCACACTATATATAAATCGTAGCGCTCTATTATGATAATAATTGCGCCAACGGCCTTTTGATTGCATCCCGCGTGTGCGCACAATTAGGAAAATAATTAGCCATCTCTACATTGCTGAGTGCAGAGGATAGGAGAGTGAATTAATTTGCTACCAGGCGCCTCATCACCAGTGCGAGTCGTGATAGTATAAAATAAAGAAAGACGCTCTTTATAAGTTATTTTGCATTTAAAAACAATAACACAATCGCACATGAGTTTCATTAAATAAAACAAATTACATTTAACATTATTAAAATTTAATAACAGATATCATTGTATAAATTATTTTTTAAATAAATCTGTTCATTTATAGAAATATGAATGAAGATAAAAAAATTAATAAAGAAATTTACACCTATTGTTTATAATGTATAACCTATTTTAATGAAAAAGAATTAAATTAAAACAGAAAAATTCAAATTTTTAGAAGCGCCTTATTTATAGAGAATTTGATAAAGCATTTTACCTTTTTTAAGTTTTTTATGCAATAAAATTAATTATGTAAAAAATGAGATTTATAATGCTTATAAAAACTATTAAATTTAATAATTCTTGAATAATATGTATTAAAATAAGAAAAACTTATTAGATTTTTATAAAAAAATACACCTTTGTTCACCAGAACCTCGCACACGCGTTTATTGTCTTCACCGCACACGGAGAAGGCGAGTCGAAAATTTACTGCCGTCTGATGGTTGCTGGTGTGACCATTAGTGAAAGCGGTGCGACAGGCCAAAAATGTAACGCAGAGAGATGCTGTAACTCATTCAAAAATCGTTTCCTCCGCATCAGGAAAAGCAGCGGCTTCCCAGACGAGTTTTCTCTGCGCTGCTCTCGTCCACACTTACATCACCTTTGACAAGAAGCCAAGCCCAGGCAAGGCTCAATTTTCTAATCCACTTATGTGCTCCAGCCGGCGGGTTCGAATTCGGAGAGAATCTCTCATTTCCGCTCGGATGCTGCGTTGTCTCGATTTCGTAACCAATAATGATCACCTGGCGCGCCTCTTTAACTTCAACAACTGTAGTCTGATATATAAAAAAATTATGCAAGCGCTCTTTGAAGTGCCGATTTCTCGATTTTGCTCGTTAATTCTACCCTATCGAATCAGCAGGAAAATATTTCTCTAAGCATTTTAATTTAATATGCTTATGAGGGGAAACATTGACAATAAGCTATAAATACAATTGATGTAAATGCAGGTAATTATTGGCGAGGGCACACAATCAGCAGTAAAAATTAACAAAAAAAATTCACCTCCGTGAGCATGATGATAAAAATATGTAATGCAAAACGTCCTGTAGGCGTAAATTTTCCTTGGAGCTACATATTAATTAATAAGGACAAGAGATCAAACGTGATGCAACGTAATTATGCACTTGACCAGGTATATAATTTTCCTGTTAAATTGGATGAGAATAAACCTGTTTAGGCATACATCAAAGAGTATGGTTAAATTATAATAAGATTCCACCTTTCAGTTTTGCTGCTTCTCTTACGATTAAGCGGATTTCTTTTAGAATTTACATTTCAAGTTTGCATCGTCTCTGCTGATTTATCGGACGCTAGTATTGCGAAAGGGTGGCATTTTGACGCTACCTCTCTCAACTGGAACGGCGGCGCCTCGCCTGTCGTGCGACCGTTTGACCTTTCACCGGTTTCCTGGTGTGCCTGCTTTTGCCATAGGTCGGCGCATTCAAAATAATTTTTGTAATTTGTCACTTTTACTCTCAAAATTACTCAGAAGACAAATGCATTTCTAATTGATTGGTTAATTTATTTGCAGCTGCTTTCACTTTCTTTGGGGACTAACAAATTAAAGAATGAAATAAATTTGTTCGTCGGACTTATTTTCCCGACAAAATTCTTTAATTTTGAGTCATAAATAGTTGTTATTTACAGTGAGCAATCCGAGTACTTGTTGTCGCAGGGTGTCACTCGCTTGTGTCTCCTTTGCCCGGCTCAGCAGCGGCCAACTCAAACACTCTCAACATGTCTTTTGATTTTTTTTTACACTATTTAGTTACATTTCATCCACTTTTGTTTCATATTGTCGCAAATCAAATGTCAAAGAAACATGCATGTATGCTAAAAGGCTTGATACTTTTCTGCTCTTACAACTAGGATGGAAATACAAATTTATCAAGCCTTGGTCAATAATTAAATCCCTATAGTGGCAGTCCAAATTGTAGGTAGGAATTGACCACACAGACTGGTCAAAATCTCTGGCTTCTCTATTCAGTCAACGTTAGAATCAATCTGTGCAATCAAAACAACTCACAATCTTTCAGGCCAAATTTTCTAATTCAAATCACAATAATAATTGATAAAAATAACAGCAGCCATTCTGCTTTCACAGATATGTTCATCCAAATGAAGTCATACGATCACAAATCAGACTAAGTTCGAGAGTAAACATGTTCCATCCCTCTTGTTTGAGATTTCACTGCATTTTTTGCGGTTATTTACATTATCATGCTCCCCATGGTTTGGTAATTTTATCTAAATGAAGCTCATCTGATATAAAAGGCTCTCCTCGTTTCAAACACACTTTAATTCAAACCAGAGTTTAATAAAAATCCATTGAAAAATGGCACAGAAATGAGCATGACAATCATTCATGCAATTTTCAGTCAGCATCATTTTGATTCACCACTTTCAGCAAGGAGACAAAACTTTAGTTCTAATATATCAAAGCGAATTTTCGGTTACACTTTTATCAGTGGCAGTTTATATGTGAGGTATTATCGTTTTAAATGGCACTTGCAAACATCTGAGTTCTACGAAAGAGAACTTGTCTACAAAGTCTTGATCCATTCTCATGATCTGATTGTATTCAAATTAGTCGAGATGAAAATTTCCAATCCTAACGCTACTTAAGTATTAGATTAGCTAGCACCATTGATGGCACTGGATGTTTTTTTTTCTCTCAATTCGACCGACTCCAAAGTCGGAAATTAATTTCAAAAATCAAAATGATCACCGCAAAATGAGCTGCAGTCGGTAAAAAACATTCACAGTTACGAGGACGACAATTGAAAAATATTGCACTTGCTCTGTTGTTCGCGCAGAGCGACAGCGATTTTGATAGATTTGAGAGTGTCTGCGTTGGCGGCCCTGCTCGAAATCAAAAACAAATCAAAGTGTCTTTGGTTTTTTCTCTTTCTTCTGCTTGTTTCCATCCTGTGGTAGTTGACACACGCCTTCTCTCTCCTTCTTGCTTCGACTAGATTCTCTCTGATCAACTTTTGGACTTGAAGAGGCGACTCAGTGTGCCCCACGACAGCCCCGAAATCCGCCTGTGTCGAGAGCGGATTTCAGGGGCCTCATGCTAGAGTTGCTCCTGCAGGTCCGTGCCGCCCCCACCCCCGTCGGGCAGCGTGCGCCGCTGCGGCTCGGGGGTGCTCTGGTATTGCAGTCGGAAGGGAGGCACGCGGCCGTGCTGCGGCGACCCAGGCACTGACATGCTCTCGTTGATGCGGCGCGGCGGTGGCTCTGGCGGCGCCGGAGACACGTGCCTGCGGAAAATAACAATTTCAACATCAGCAAAGCATCTAGGCAATTTGCCGGACTTTAATATCAAGGGCAAGTTCTGGTTTGAATTGTTTAGAAAAATTGAAGCGTCCAATCGAAAAAATAGAACAAAGGCATTTTTAATACCAAAATTCTGGGCCCATTAAATTGTAGAATTTTGCTGGCTTAAAAAAATTAAACTAGCTAGAGTTGATTTATATATCAGGCGATACTATTTTTTTCAGTCTTATGATGAAATTTTCATGACATTATAAATTGTTAAACTCCCTAAGTCTCCAGAGGAAAAGTTGAAACTTTGCCGAGAAATAGAAAGAGGAAATTCCACTTACATTGTGCAATTACAAATTGCCTCAAATGTATTGAATCACTTCCTCTATCCTGGAATGTTCATTAAAGAGTGCTGCAGGTTAAGATATCAGCGGCTAAATTGCAGTGTTAAGTATGAGGTCATAATTATTGGAAACACTCCAAGCAATTCAAAACAACAAATGAAATCAGGCGAAACGACAAATTGAGGCAACAAGAAGACGGAAACTTTAGTCAAACTGCAGCGTTGGAACAACAAGGTAAAAACTAATAATTGTTATTAAACAATTTGACAGGACGTCATGCCACCAATGAACATTTATAAACGGAAATTCTTAGAAAAATGGATTATTTTTAGTCTCGCATAACGTTATGTTGAGTTCCTCTTTTAGAATGTAAAAAGTAATATCTTTATTCATAAATATTAATTATTATTTAATTATTATTAATAAATAATAATTTTAAAGTTATCTACAATTTTTTTAATCATTTTATGTCTTATTTCTTCTGAGTAATCTTCACTTTCAATATTCAATTTTATTTTAATGACTTAGCTTGAGAAAAGGATGAATAAGTAGGAAAAAAATAAATTAGAAAGCCCTGTGGCTTTACGAAATATTTGTTTTGGGCGCATAAATTTGCTGGCTAAAATTAAAAAGCGTGATAGTGCAAGATTCCAAAGCGGGAAAACATGAAAGCGGGGGGTGAAAAGCTGCGGGGGTGGCAGGGCGAGTTTACCTTCGGGGCATGGAGGGTGAGGCGACAAAGTAGCGCGTCTCGCCGGCCCCCAAGCTGCGCCTGGTGGTGTCGAGGAAGCCGCGCCGCAGCCGGGGCGACTCTTCTGCCTGGAGGCGGCTGCTGCGCGGGGGCGGCGAGGGTGGAATCACCAGTGTGTCCCTTTGGTAGATGTGCTCGGTGTAGATGGGGGGAGGACTGCGGGCGTAGATCGGCGGCCCTGCCGAGGGCTGCTGCGGAAGCGGCGAACGACGGCCCAGCTGCAGCTGCAGGTACGACGCAAACCACTTGTCGGGCGAGTGGGGGCGGTGCGCGGAGGCAGGCGGAGGCGGGGGCGAAAAGCTGAATGCCCTGCAAGCAGCCACACAGACAAGCATAGAGGATGGAGCTCACGGGGGGTTGAAAAGTATGGATTGTGATTTTATAGATTTTTAACACCTTGTTATAATAGTAAATAGTTCAGAATAGTTTGGTTAAAATTATGTTTTGTATTCATTTAAAAAAAAATGAAAAATATAATTTTTTTAGGTGAAAAACTTCTTCCTTGCAAGAGACACGTGACAAATTTGAGGCAAAGCAGACAGCCAAAGGAGAGACTTCCAAGAGACACACACTCACCCAGGCAATCACACGCACACACAAAATAAAGCAAAATTGTACATTTCCCCCTTATCTTGGTTTGTTTATGTCATATATTCGACTTACAAATTTAAGAGTCAAATGCTAAAAAGTGAGTCAAGCAAGCTGATATTAGTAAAAAATCCGTATTTTTGGGACTTCCTTTGAGCTCACCTGTGGTAAATAGGAGGTGGTGGGGTTCCGTTTGCGGAAGTCAGGATTTGGTGAGGCTCCGACGGATGCCTCTTTCGCTGGTCAGCAGGATAGATCCTGGGAGGAATGGTGGGAGGCAGATCAGGGTGAAGTCGCTCATTCGAGTACAAGCGCGGCTCGCTTGGCTGCTGAAAAATGTAATGAAATTTTTCAACATTAACGCACATTTCTTGATTAGTTCGTATTTTTGATTTAACACTGCGCCATTTATTAAATTATAAATTTTTAAATTGTTGATAAATTCTATTTTAAGATTCAGAAACTGATATATTATGAATTATTAAATTCATTCAGGTTTTGAACAATCTAAATTTTACAAACCCGCCCGTAGATTGGCTGGTCGTGGTATTGGTAAAATCTGTGCGGCTGCTCATGATGCCTAATGTACTGCTCGTGGTGCCTAGGATCAGACAGGTTTCGGTGGTGGAACTGAGAGTGGTTGAACACACCCTGCCTCCTGGGGGGTGTAGGAGATGCCTGAGAGATGCTTGAGCCTGACGAGGGCGGAGTGTATCTATTTCAAGAACAATAAAAAAATTGAATGAGGAAAAATAAATGAATATTTATCCTTACTTCCTGATAGGACTGGTGACTGGAGTGTTGGTACTAGCATTGACATAGGTGGGACTGAGGCACGAAGTTGGCGAGGCCACCGTGTTGGTGCTGGCGTTCGAATAACTAGGACTCGGCTTGCTGCTGCTTTGGATAGGACTTGAGTTTGTTTGAACCGCGGTGGACGTCAGGTTTGTGACGGCCGTTTCAGAAGCCACCAAAGCAGGTGGGGTGCTTGTCTCAAAAGTGGACGCATACCAGCGTGCAAGGTCAAACTCTGCGTTTTCGTACTTGAGGATGAAGGGATCCTTCAACAACTTGCGGTACTTTGGCCTCTTTTGGTAATTTTTAGTCAAACTGCAGCAAAATCATGGGTTTGATTATAAGACTAAGTGTGGTTTAAGAATTACATACCAACTAGAAACAAAATTCTGGAACTCTGGAGAAAATGACTGATCTGCGGGAAGAGAGGGTGGGTCCTCATTTATCACTTTAGTAAGCACCTCAAAGTCTGTTTTGCAGTTGGTGTAAGGGAAGTGACCAGACGCCAGCTCCACCAGGGTGATGCCCAAAGACCACACATCAGCCCTGATGTCATAGTCGGGGTTGGTGGGATTCGGAGGGTCAATCCTTTCAGGCTATAAAAAAGTAAATTTGTAAATTTCTAGATAATAATCAAAAATTGAATGGTAACACTCGAGGTGGATTTCATAAAAGATTGAAACCGGGCGAACCTCGTTGCAAAGAAAAAATGAAAAAATAAAGGACAACTGACCCCAAAGGCGACCTGCGGTCTGCTGGTACTTTAAAACCTAGGATTTGGGGTCAGTTGTCCTTTATTTTTTCATTTTTTCTTTGCAACGAGGTTCGCCCGGTTTCAATCTTTTAATAATCAAAAAATATATTAAATATAAAATACTCACAGCCATGTAAGCAGCACAACCTGCACCTCTCGTTTTAGCCTTGGAGTCGACTAGCCTTCCAGATATTCCGAAGTCACATAACTTGACGATTCCTCTCTCATCCAGAAGAATGTTGCTCGGTTTTACATCTCGGTGGATCACACCATGCGTCTCTTTCAGGTAATGGAGTGCTTTTACAGTCTGAAATATGTAAGAGAAAATCAATTTAGAATTTATTTGCCATTTCCTAAACCATTAACAATCAAGAACAGTAAATAAGTGTCATAAGTACCGCTACAGTAACGTTTCCTAGAACATCCTCAGGCAATGGCTTCTTGATTCTTTTGAGCAGTTTGTCGAAGCACGTCGCCATCAGCTCCATGCAGATCCAGACATCAGCGTCTGTTATGAAGCAGCCGAGGCACTGTACGATGAAGGGACAGTCGTGAGACTTGAGCACCACCTCTATGTCCATAATTATTCGCTTCTCCTCCTCCCTGTTTCCTGAGCGCCGCATCTGCTTCACAGCAATCACTGTTTTGCTTGGCCTGTGCAACATTTTGACAACGTGGCCACAAGTGCCATAGCCCAAGTCGCCTAGGTGCTCAAGGTCGCTTTCTTCCGTCTGGTACTTCTGCGAACCAATCGATTGCTATCTTACTTATTAATCTCATAATTAAAATGATAAATTTGTAAAATTCATAATGCTAATTTTCTGTGATTAGTCTAAAATTTAATGCAAGTGAATTTATTACTTCAAGTTTCTGATTAAATTAAATCACATTACTGTATCAGTTTAATTTAACAGTATTTAAAATGAAGTTGATTTCATGGAAACAGAATATTAAAATTAAATCATTCAAATGTAAAATAATTTTAAAAATATACGTTAAAAGTTTTTTTAATTAGACGTAATTTTTGCACTATACATTAAAAAATTGTGTTAATTCTAGTGGTAAAAAATTGTTATGAAAATCAAAATTAAATTAAATTTTTTTGCAATTTTAGACGCACTTTCCCCTCTATGGTGAGAACCCCAGTTTGCCGCATGATCTCTTTCATCTTGGCGTCGATCTCAGCCGCCGACTCTTGAGGCCTGTTCTGGGTGTAAGTTGGCAGGCCGTGCAGGGCGAGTTCCTTTCGCGACCTCGTAGGGGTGCCCTCATGCCTCGGGGGCAACGGGGACGATGGGTCGCACACTGCAAAGAAACGAAAACACTCGTCAAATCATGTGAAGTGCGAATGGAGGGGCGCGCGCTGCGCATGCAGGCATGTGTCAAAACAAGGGCCGTCCCCACAGCCCCGCGCCGCCTTCGTGGGGCCTGCTGGTGTGCGGGGTCATACAGAGTGGTCAAATGGGCCCAGAGAGGCCCCCGAAACACTCAAAAAGTGGTTAAAATGCAATTAAAAGTGGGCACAGCCTGGGGCTAGGCAACTCACGTCGCTTCGGCCTGCTGATGGTGGCGGGCCTTCGGACCCCGGGGGCCACCGCCAGTCCTCCAGCAATGGTGTCCCGCTCGCTGGCTGCATTTTCGGCCTTGAGCCGGGCCTCCAAATCCGAAATTTTTAACGCTATTCGCTCCGTACTTATTGAAGCGCTAGACATTTTGGATTATTTTCACTTCCATCACTGACGACACCTGGCGGCGCCTACCCAAATCGGTAAGTTCGCCAGTGATTGGCCACTTTTGTCTTCGGTGGCAAATATGCAAATGAGAATTTGCAATACCGGTATCGCAAAATGAAATTGGAACGTTTAAAAAAAAAGAAGATAAAAATGTACAAAGTGTATTTTTCAATCTTATAAGCTTTCGTTTGTAAACTAAAAATTAAAAAAATATGCCTTTTAGGACGCTCATGGTGTTATTTTTCAAATTATAAAATTAATCGTAACCGGTAGGACTCTTAAAAAACCGATTGTCTTTGCCATAATTGCCATGATGCGCCCCCTGATTGCAGGCACGTATTTGTTATTGTCCCGTGACGTGTGATCAAAACGTATTTTCCGCCTCGATTACAGCTCAGCTGCAGTTTTTTTTGAAGTGATGCTTTGACCGATCTAATTATAAGGTAGATCAGTGATTATAAAACCTATAAATTTTATTAAATAACCTCATTTCTTTGCTGAATCGCCAATTTGTGACGAGGTGGGCGTGGTGACCTACGTGTGAAAAAATCGTACACTTTCTCAATTTTCAGTATTTTTGGCTCAAGAAGTCAAGACTCGCTCAATTATTTAATTTTATCCAGAGAAAAAATAATTCCATTTAAATTTTTTTTTAAATTTTGCTCAATGTCAGTTGTTCAGTGTTTTAATGTCCCATTTGGAAGATACTAGGGCAAGGTTGTCATTGCCTGACATTGGAATTGCTTGTTGTTCCAGTTATATGTTGCTGATTGATGGCGAAAATGGATAGCAAACTGAGCGCTCACGATCGACAAGACCTGGAGAAGTATACAAAGTTTTTGGCCATCAAAGCTACGCAGATCATTGTCAACAGCAGACTTGGTGAACCCGTCTCGACCAATTGCAAACCACTATCGTCGGGCACGGACTGGGTTAGTTAATAAAAGAAGGAGAAAAGCGGAGGCCATTAAATAGTTTTTTTTTTTAAATAAATTCAGTTCAACCTGGCCATCCCTGACCTACCTGAAGTGTCAGCCCAAACAAGGAGCATTCTGTCTGGCAGCAATCCCTGCCAGAAACTGCCCATTTGTGTAGAAATCAGCCTTAAGACTTCAGAAGGAGACAGCATGATTTTAGAAACATGGTTGCTGAACATGGGGGATCCAACAGACCATGCTGTATGTTTCTAATTATATTTTTCAGATATTTAATTGTGATGTATCTATTTTGTCTTCTTTTTAGACGAAAGTAACTCACACCATCTACAATCGAATGTCTCTGCTGCTCAAATCCTTGCTGGCTGTCACAAGAGTAACCCCGGCTTACAAACTTTCTCGGAGACAGGGAGCGGACTCGTACCTTATTTGCTACAGAATTTACAGTGGTGAACCTCAATTACAGTTGTTAGGTATTTATTTGAATTTTTCCAAATTTTCAAAAATAATTATTTTTTTCTTAAGGTGAGGGTCACAACCAAGCAAGAGTAGGCCAGTTGACCACTCCCTTGGGAACAATCCAGCTGTCGGTGGCTTACAGGACGAAAATGACAATATCACCCCAGCACACCAAGGACATTATGGTCAAATCTGACCACTTCAACCCAGACCTCAGCCCAAAGCACACGAGATATCAAAATATGTGAGGATAATTAAATTTAGTTTTTATTTCTTTATTATTTTATATCATATATTTAATTCGTTCTCTCCATATTAGCGAGGATTCAGACAGTTCGCTGAGCAGCACTATCAAAGCAGGTGCCTTTGCTGACCCCGGCTCGAAGAGGCCACACTCAAGATTATTTGCAGTGGACTCTGATGAGGTTCCTTTCGCCAACTTGCTCATAACAGCTTCCAAACAGCCAGCTCAGGATCAAAACAACGCAACGAAGAGCAAGCCAGACAATAATGGCAACAATAATGCTCCAGCAGCCAATCCAGTGTCAGCCAAAACCAGCTCGGATAGCGTTTCGAGAAGGTCAAGTAGCTCTGCTACGGACGACTTCATCATGGTCGACTTGGTAATACCTGCTTCATAATTATGCTTTTTTAATAAATATTCAAATTTGTTGTTGTTCCTGTTGTAGAAAACACCCTTTGCTGGTGGCAACCTGAACAGTGATCTTGGCACATTCTACAGGGAGTGCCAAACCGCACCACCCCTCAAAACCTTCTTAGAGCAGCCTACGTTGGCAGAGCAGGTGTCGGCTTTGCCGTCCCAACTGGCAATGTTTGAGAAAAGCCAGGCTGAATTTGACGCCCTGGTAACCTCCCTAATTTCACAGCCCTCTCTCACTTGAGCCAATCATGTTGCAAGAGTTGTTATTTCATTGTTGGTTACTTGTTGCTCTTGTTAAAGACTGATTATCCTGACACGATGTCATCTTTTGCCATATTAGACTTATTGCGTTACCAAAATTTATTATTGGATATTGGATTTGTGGCCTTAAAGAAACCTTGTCCAAAACTTGCAAATAAGCAATTGATTTACCAAAAAAGAGATTATTGGTATTGACTGTAAAAGGCAAAGACTGTAAATATGGTTGAACGCCTTTAATATAAAAGAAAAATGTATAGGTAGCAATGAAGAGCACACTCTGCACACAATTTCATTTATTAAAAACTTTCAGTGCTTGTCAAAAGAGCTTTAAAAGCTGTTCAAGCACTCTAGTCCACATTTAATTACCCTCTTCAACATGAGCCTGAATCTCTTCAAAAATTTTCGCTTATGAAATGAACTAAATTTGTGAATCTTCTACTTAATTTTTGATTCTTACCAAGGTTCTATTTTACCAGTTTAATGAGAACAATTTCTATCTATCAAGTCAGCAAGTCAGTTTGAGAAAAATGTATTAACTTGTGACAGGAGCTTCCTATGCTAGATTGCAAAATCATCACAAGGCAAAAGACTAATTTTTTTATTGTTCTTTGAAGCAAGCGAGTGAGAGATTGCTGGATGATATCGGTTGGGGGACGGGGGGATTTTTAATCAAGATTCTTAATAAATTTTACAATGGGAAAATTTGGAAGAAATTCTTTGACTTGATTAAAGTCAACTATTACTCATTATACACCATGCTTAGTGGTGTTAATGCATAAATATAATAAAATTATTGTCCTCAAGAGTCTTGTAAAATATTGGATAACAAGAAATAAAGCTAGTAAATTATAATATTTCTATTTATTTCTGATGATTTAAAGCTTGTGTGAGTGAAACACTTTACCAGATTTAGTTGGAATGAAATAGCTCTCATTATTTTATTGAGATGGAATCAGATGCAGCAAATACATTGTTTACTCTTTTTAATTTTTTTTCACACGGCACAATTTAAGGGTGTCCCGTTTTATTTTCACATCCAGAGAGATTCAATAAAACACCAAAAGTTATAGAGACAAATCACAGAGAGCACAGCAGTTCCACTTCCCTGTTGCTTACAAGTAGAGTTAAACACCGAATCGAAAGATTGCATTGATGGTTTTTGCATTATACTTTAATTTTACAATTGCAAATTGTTGTATAATATAATAATATGCAAAGTTAGAGCTCTGTTAAAAAATCACAATATATACTTAACATATTCTTAATTCTACATGGCATTTTTTTATATTCCAGTTTTTCAATTTTAGGGAGTTTATCAATTTAAGATTGCATACCTGATTTCATAGATAGAGAAAATTGATGATGAGTACTATTTTTTGGTAAATTTTAGTTCTTCATCTCATACAACCTCAGCGTTTGTTTTCCCCTTCTATCGTTCTCAGCCAAACATGGTTTAACTTCTTAGACATCTCCAAACATATATTTTTTGACTTTACAACAAAACACTCTGTTAGATGAATTTTCTTGAAGATGGCTCAGTATCTAGTCAAGAAAACTATCCGATCCATCAGAAAGGACTAATATAGCATAGAAGTGCATTGCAACTTACACAGCTTTCACTACATGGGCAATTATTATTATTAATTTATCTCGAACCAGCTTTTAGCAAAGAGATGAAATTTTTTAAAGGATTTTTAAGAGTTACACCTTTGAATTATTTATTGAACTGTATTAATACTTGATTTTTGTAATCTCCCAATCAAAGGAAATTTCTTGCAAAACTTTCTTCTTAAAAAATTAAGACAAAAATACAAACTAAGGTATAAGTACATGCAGAATGAAAATAAATTAAGAGCGCGTTAAATAATGATAAATATAATTATGATTTGTCTACCATTATACATTTTTCATTGCATATACATTTTTTAAGAACATAATTAACACCTCTAACTTTGCCCTGGGACGTCATATTTTCAGAATCAACAAATTTTTCATATTAGTTAAAATATTATTTGTTCAATCATGAATTCAAATTTGCAACTTGAAACACAAAACACATATTATGTAGATGAAACTCAAATTGAGCAAAAGCCCTGACAGGCAATCTCGTCGATTCGGGTTGAAAATCTTTTAAATCTTAAATTCCACCAAGTGTATTCGCAATAAATAAAATCACACACCGTCTTGAGAGAAATTAACACTGCTCGTCGAGGCCCTTGAGTTCGTCATCAGTTGGGTAGTAAACGCAGGGCGAGCGCGTCGACGGCGCCAGCAGCTGCAGTTTAACGTCGCGGCTTCCGTTGTTGCGGGCCATCCGACTGCTAGGTTGGCGCACACTGAAAGTGCGGCCGTTGGAGACAAAACTTTCCTCGTGGGTGGCCTCTGGGGAGTCGTTACCCCCTCGGCAACAGCGGCCACGCTGCGGCCAGAAGATCTTGAAGAAAAGCCGCTTGAACTTGTCTCCGAAGATGACGTAGATGACAAAGTTGACGGATGAGTTTATGGCCACAAGCAAATTGCTCGTGGCGATAAGCTCGTCTTGCAGAATGCCGTAAAAGGCCTCAAGCACGTTGTTGACCAGCGGCAGGATGTTGCACATGAAGAAGACTACGACCACGCACATTAGCATCGTTGCCAATCCAATCTCCTTTTTCTGCAGCCGGGACAGGCGTTGCCTCTCAGCATTTGCTTTCCTCACCTAAAACAAAGTTTTGAAATAAAAAAATATTAACTTTTGCTCTTTTATTACTTGAAATTGTAACGAGGTAAAGTAAAAAATTAATTTGAACGAAAATTAAAATAATTTTTTCTAGGAAATAAGAGTAAAACTAGTTTTCAAAATTATTTTGCGGTTGGGGCAAGCTGAATGGATAAAAAAAATATTGAATCAATATCTAAATTAAAATTCTAAACACTTAAAAGCAAAAATATATATTGCCAAAAAAAAAGCTTTCCAAGCAAGAGAGTTACAGACCTGCATGTAAATTGCGCAGTTGAAGATGGCAAGCGCAAGGAAAGGGACAAAGTACATGACCAGCAGATATGTCCAGTTGACATAGATGGTTATGTAGAGAGGGTCGTTCCGCAGCGCTGAGGCGCTCACCATGTAAATGGTGGTGTTGTATGGTGGCAGGGTGCCAGTGACACGCTCCACCTCAAAAAAGCGCGGCAGGTTGTACAAAACGGAGAAAACAATGATAAGCACAACGTAAATCCGCGCCCGGCCGTAAGTGCAGAGGGACCGAGCGCGCAGAGGGTGGCACACGGCCACATAACGCTCCAGGGTCACCGTCAAGGTCAAATACACTGAGCCCGTCTGCGCAATCAATCCCATGGGGTAAACAATCTGAAAAAAAAGATGAAAAATATATTTAATAATTATTATTTAGCCTTGATTCTTAATGTTCTTAAACAATTATTTAAAGTAAATATCAAATATTGAAAACTTTTGATATAATCTGTCATTTTTTTACTCATTTTATGAATATTAAAAAATAAAATAGACTTTCCTATGAATTAGACAAATGTGTCCTGGGTGAGCTGGGACTTGCAAAAATTTATAATTTCTATTGACTTTGACTGAAATTGCTTATATAATTTAATTAATTTTCTTACCCTGGCGATGGAAGGGTAGACATAGTACATGTAATGCGGCAGGCAGCCGGTGTAGGTGGCCACAGAGGGTAGCGAAAAGATTAGGATGGCGGCGACGAGGAGAGCGGCGTCGCACCGAGCCAGTCCAACAAGCAGGCAGTTGATGCTGGAACGCATCTGCGGCCGCGACAGGATCACCATGGTCAGCACGTTGCCCAAGATGCCCATCAGGCTGACCAGGCCGAGCAGCACCCCCTTGACGAGGAACTCATACAACCTGCGCAACTCGTCGCTGTTGCCGCCGCCGACGGCGCCGTCCGCCTCCTCCGTGGTCACATTGGTCACGTTCTCCATGGGCTCAAGTCACGTCCCCAGAATTCTCAGCCATCGCTTTAACCTGGTGACAAAGTGTTTTTCATTTTATAAATTGAAATAATAAATAATGTTCAGTGAAAATTCATTGAAAAACGCTGAACTTTTATATAATTATACATGAAAATAAATTTTAATTAATTAATATTAGAAATGGTTGTTACACCGTGGATATTATTGTTACATAAATATATTACATTTTTTTTATTCCCGTCATTTACAAAGAACTGAAAAAAATAAATATCTTTAATCTGGTTTATAGGGGAAGAAAAATAAAGTGTCAAATACATCTTCTTTTAAATTAACACATTTCCTCCCTAGTGTGCTACTACATTGCAAGTTGATCGTAAAACATGGATCTTTATTGGGTTCATTTCCTCTTGGCACTTAATAAAAAAATCATTCAATACCTCTCCTTTTTAATGACTTGCTGCTGTGATTGGATGAATGTGTTATATGTACAGTGACGTTTACAGCCCATAAAATCGACCATGGCTCGCCGCCTTATAAAAGTCGCAGCCTTCACTAGCAGCTTATTTTCGCACTTTCGAGATTGCGTCTCCCTGACAAGATTTGCCACGCAAATAACCTCTATAAATAATCCGACACCTGCCTGACAACTTTCGTAAACAAAATTTTCCCCGGGCTGTTGAAATCTTGTGCAGATAAAACGAATTTGCAATTTCCCTGCTGATTAGTAAATTAACTTTTTAACTCCCACTCCCATCCACCAGAAACGAAAATATTTTCCCGAATCGCATTTTTTCCTCTCGGCGATGATTAATGCGCTTGATTGCCCGTTGAAAGGGTTTCGCCTGTTGCCAATCGGAAGCTGCACCGCACGACATACACGTCCAGCGGGTTGCCTACTTAAATACTGGTTCTAGTCAGCGTGAGTAAAGCCGATTATTTCCGATTTCGAGTGGAATTTTAAACCGAAACACGCAAATTGGCACCCATTCAAGGAAAATCCTCCGTGAGAGCAGGTAATCAGCCCGACGGTTGTTTCCAGTGGCGATTCCTACCCACTTTTTCCGCTTGAGTTTGCATGAAACTATGGTAGAAATAATCCGCATGCAGCACGACGTGTAAGGAGGGATTTGTGTCGCCAGCGATCCGTGCAATTTTGACCTAATTCTGCTCACTTCTGAACTGCGACGTTTGTATGTACACGATTCTATGTATATTATCATTGTTTCAATATATCGCATCAGGGCCAGAACAAATTCAATCAAAAGCACTCAACTGCGCAGGAACTAATTAAGCCGACTGCGAATGCCCATCAGGAGAGTCGAGAGCAATCGAAACTTTTTGATGGGAAGCACTGCACTTCAACTCTGCTTTATTAAGTATTAAGTAACAGGCTTAATAGAGTTTGATTTGCAAGGCTCCTGAGGATTCTGCTGTCTTCCATTAGCAACCGTTTATTTTAATGGAGCTGAATAATTATTAAATGACGTTGTCTGCTATTTTTTATCAACAAGGAAAATGAACCGATACAAAAATGTAGACTGGATAAAACCAATTTTCAATTAGAGATAGCGGACAAATCATTTTTTTTTATATATTATAAAAATTGTGACCTGTTGAAAATTTATCTGCATGGTTTTTAATTGGTTCTAATCAATATTTTTTTTTTTACAAATCCATTTGATTATTTTTAATAACATTGCCTTAAATGATATTTCAGATTTGGGAACAGATTATTCTTCATCTACATGCACGCACATAAATGACACAATTTTCCCTCTGCATTAGTTGTTTTGTGTCCATTTCTGAAATTTATTTCGCTGGAGGGCACGTTTTTGCTTGTAATCCGGCCATTTGCTTTGGAGCAAGTTTTGGGATCACACCAGACGATTACATGAGATTAGGACGGCCGAGAGCGCGCAGGAATGAGGAGATCTGCTGTTGGAGAGGCGGATTGCTTTCGCAAGAGGCGCTTGCTTTGCGTTCAACCCTCGAATTAATTCCTAATGGCTATAGTGTCCTCCTACGCGTGCATTCTCTCGCAGCAAACCAAGGGGAAAATTAAAACACTGGAGAAAGAATTTGGACGATTTCTCACGAAATTAATTCAGTCCTGCAGGGAAAACTGTAGCTTGTGCGGTTCCACGTTTTAACCTGTTTGGAACAGTTGCGTGGTTCTTTAAAGAGTGATAGTCACATTGAGCCAAATACTAGAAGGGAAAACATTTGAATAAGACTTTTAAGAGAAATTTATATTTATTTCTTTTTGAATTATTGTGTAAATAGAAATTGAAAATAATAAAACTTACTGAAATTATAATTATTATTATTGCATCTCATCTCTAATTTTTTTTTGCACCCTGCAGTTTAAATTTAATCATGTTTATTAAAGTGAAAAAAATTACAAATTAAACACGCACAATGAATCATCAATATCAAAATGTTTATCTGAAATCAAGCAATTAATTAAACCTTTTCTTTAAACTTTTACGCTAATTCCCTTTCTTTGATATCTTATTTCTCTAATTTCTCTTAGTCTAAATTAAATGCTGCTTTTGCTTACCTACATTGACAAATTTAATTGTAAGCTTGATGGGTGATGGCATATTTCTCAAATTTTCTAGTGTGAATTTTGTGAATTCTATTCATATATTAGCAACCGCTACGATACTGATTGTCTGGGATCAAAACCAAAATCTTCTTATAATGTTGTGCTCATTATAACTTTTTAAAAGCTTATAAAGCCAATCTGTTTTTGTTTGGTACTCTGCAAAGTGCAGTCTCATCCTTTAATCTTGTGCCAAAAAAATTAGCCGCTTTTAATCCTACGCTCTTTTCCATTCGCAGTAGTTTACTGTTTGCTTTGGCTCCGGCGACCACTTACTCAGTGTAAATTTTTCCGTCTGTCTGCGGTCGGCTTTGCGCCATTTTTGCAATTCGCTTGAAAGCGCTCGCCAAATGGCTCTCAGCCGACTTTTCCCCGTCTCTCTATTTTCCTTTCGCAATCAACTTCTGCTATATTCCTCCAATTCCACTTAAAAAGTCAACGCTTAAGGGGCCACGTGCACGGCAGCGTCAAAGCACTTAGCGTATCGTTCAGGAATTAGTCGTGCCATTACATTGTTTGCCGCGCGGCAGAATTATAATTGCATGAGCACAGGCGAATTAATTTATTCTCGACGGCGCGACGCGATTGCAAAACATTTTCTCGAGAGTGCACTCTCCAGAGCAATTATGTGCACTTGCTGTGTAAGTCGTTTGGCTGTGCGGCACACAACGGCAAACAGCGAGTGCGCTCGTTGCGGCCGGAATCAATCCGATCGCGCGCGACGCAAAAATGAGGCGGCCGTGAATGCACCTGGGTACCGCTGGCTGCGACTGCTGGCGAGAAGCAATTATTATACGCTGCACCTCGGCGAAAGGGTTGCGAATGAGTGTGGTAACGGAATGCACTGGGGAGTGCTGCAGGCAAATATTGAATGTGCGCTGGGATTGAAAACCCAGGGACAAAACGACTTTTTGAATTGAGCTAGGGTGGCTAGCTGCGTAGTTGATCTGACATTCCTTATGTGAAAGACCTTCCATTGATCTCATCGAGGAAAAAGAGTCACTTTTGACCTTTTTTCAAAACCAATTTGCATTTATATTAAACTGTTTTTCCAGTTATAAAAACGTTTCATTTAAAGATTTACCACCAAAGTGCTCGAAATGAATATTTTTACAGAAATAAGTGCAATTGTTTCAATTGGTTTTAACCTAACAATCTCGAGGATATTTTATTAAATTATATTATATATTAAAAAAAATTTTTTTCAGTGTTATCATTAATAATGGTTTTAAAATATGCAAAGAAAATATAATATTGAATTATAATCATGACCTCCTCGGCTCATCTCAAATACAAACTGGCTGCTGCATAGCTTTCGATCATTATTTAAAAGCAATTTTGATAAGTATTTTTAAATTAAATGAAGCAATTTATTTATTTTTATCATTGCAATACTTATGATCATTAATCTTGATATTATATATTTAATGCTTATGATATATTTCATACAGAAAAAAGTGAAACTAAATTTAAAAAAAAAGAAAAAATTAGTATTTTAGAAATATTTAAATTTCAAAAAAAAAACTTTTAAACTATAAAAGGGTTGATAATGTTTAAAAAATAACCTTAAATAAGCTTAAAATTTCAACTATGATATTTTAGAGAAATTCAAACCTGAAATTTATCCCAATCGCTACAGATTTTCAACGATTTTCGTTCAAATCACGCATTTGCAAATATTTGCAAAATCCGATTCCCACGTCAATCGCTCTATTTCATCATACCACCTCCATACGGCCAATTACACACGACTGTTTGGCGTTTACTTCAAAATATTTGCTGGAGAATTCAGCGAATCAGCATGTTTGAGCTGAACGAAGTGTTCGCTAATATTGAAATAGGACGGAGGGAAAACAGTTCGGTAGCAAAAAAATCCAAATTTGTCCGCCACTCCGTCAGGACCCTTGTTCCCTTCCATGCAATTACGCCCAAAACGCTTCGACGTGTAAAATTCTAGCATAACACCGCAAAGTGTGACGTGCGCCACATTAAATTAGAGCACCATCCCTTGCATTTCAAAGTGACCACATATCGTATAAAGGCTCGCGTGTGCGCACTGCTGCAGCTTGAGAGGTGAATTTTAGCGTGAATTTAATTAATTTCGAGGGGCATCGTGCCCGAGGTCATTGTTAAGCAAATGAGATTCAGTCTAATTAGGAAACAACGCGAGCATACATTAGGCAAATTTGCTCTAGGAAATGAGCTAGGACCTTTTGACGTTTAAAGCCAATTAGTAACATTTGTATTCAAAGTGAAGCGTGCTTAGAATTTAAAACAACTGTAAATGAAAAAAAAATTGAAAAATTGCGAAGGAAAATTAATTTTCCACAATGTTCGTGGGTTGTGCAAAATGTGGGTAATTTTACTGGGTAAATTTGCAACTTTGTTTTCCGATTAAATGCTTACTTGCTGAAAATCTAATCAGTTTTTGTTTACATTGTTGCAGGCCACGCTCGAACTTTCCGCTCGGACCTCCCGTTAATTACATTTCTAGCGAGAGACGCGCAAAAGGGGTTGAAACGAAAACGCATCTCCAGGGGCGCAGAGAAAAGCGTTGCCTCTCTTTTCTTTCTTTCCTCTCAAGTCTCCGACGCGCGCGCTCTCTTTCGTCTTCGGCCGCTGGGAGCGAGAAAAATAATCGTTTGTCCTTTTTTAGTCGGCACAAGGGTCAAATCGTAACGCGCACCATAAAGTGATATATACTCGACAATAAAATGCTCCGGCCGGGCCAGATAACAAATAACAATTCCCGCCGCAAGGCCGAATATCATCAAAAGTTGCAGCGGAAGCAGCCCCTGACTGACCGACCGAATATTGAGACGCATTGGTTTGTTCCTCCTTGTTGCGGGTGTGTTGATCCCATTTGCGACAAGAAGAGGTATTTCGACAGATATCGGAGGTTCAAGACGCACACGGTGGTATCTTTTGTCATCAAGACGCGTGACAACAACAAGAGGAGGAAGGAATGGCGTGTTATTTTCGCTAACGAGACGCAAACATATTGGCTGGTGATGGTTTTGGTTTACCAGCTTCAGTGAATCTGTCTCCAGATTTTGTCTTATTAATTTACGCTCTTCTCAATATTTTTAAACAAAATTTCCAAGCTCTTATCTTCTTTGACGGAAGAGTTACCTTTGAATTTACGTTAATTAATTTTCAGCTTGCAAGTATAAATCGTGAGTCGTATTGAATTACAACCGCTTCCTCAATTAAAAATGATAATTGATGTGAAATAATTTGTCAACAACACCCCCTGTGAAAAAATCTGGGTATCGACTGTCATTAGTCATTATAGAAATAATGTTGATTGGGCTAAAGAATAAGATATTATTATTTCTGTGATTTTAAATGAACACGCAGCAGAGAGAGAAAAGCAATAATTTGATCTGAGCCGTGATAAAGGCGGGAGATAATTAAAGAGACGCAACTCTCTGTCACTCAGCCGCCGACTCTCTCGCAGGTCTAATTTGGCTAATTAATTTGGAAAAGAGGGGCACAGACGCCATCACTAACGAGCGACATGAAATGAAAATACACACAACCGAAAGCAATCACACTGCTACGAGAAAACCTTATAAGGATGTAAGAATTTTTTGTCTAAAGTGCATTGACAGGAATTTTTACATGAATGCACCTAGGATGATGGTGATGGATCTCGAGGGAAAGCGGGAGAGGAGCGCCGCAATTATCATGCAGCAGGTAGGTACCGCACAATAAAAAAAGCTCATCTCCTCCATTCAGAGCCACTTGCTGGAATCCGTCGAATCCCAGTTGGAAAGTATAGAAAAGAACGCCGATTAAATTTATCACCGACTCACAATAATACTCTTTTATTTCGTTGCAGCAGACGCTGGGTCGTGATATTGATTATAAAGAAAGAAACGTTCGAGAGATAGAATTCCAACATTTCCAACACAGAATCTAATTCCGTTTAGCGGAAATGAAATTGAATAAAATTGTGGAAATGTTTTTTTCAATTAGTCCGGTGGTTGAGCAAGGAAATCAATGCGATAAAAACTTTTTATGGGAAGATGCGACTTTTGAAAAATGTCATGTTATTATTCCAGTTTGAATAATGCGAGAGTTCTATAAAATGTGCGGTTATTGTTACCTCACATATGGTTATGATAAGCAAACAGTTTTTTAGAGAGAAAAAATGCTGGTGTCTGCATAGATTTGCTTGCGAGTGATCTTATTTAAAATTTGTTTAATATATAATTTTCTTGCAATTTTGCCAAAGAAAGGTCCAGAAAACTGTACTAATTTATCTGCTTTTTTAGAAATAAATGACATTTAAAATTTATTTTAAAAAAATATCAAAAAAATAAATAAATAATAGTCCCTCTCACATTAAAAAACATAAATTTTAAATAAAATTGTGTTCTTATTAAATACGTAAAAAAACATTGTTTATATATACCTGCTTTATGCATGTTTTTTTTTGTTTAAATTCCGTGAGCATCTTTATTTTTTTTATAATATAAATATTACTTCAGGCCAGATTTTTTTTCATTGGTGTTATTTCCTGCTCATCATGCTCAGTTTGCCTGAAGCGCGTTAAAAAAAACTGCCGAAATCAACCACACTCTATACATTGTGGCCTGCAAGTTTCATTCACCGCGAAAAGCACGTGATTATTCCACTTTTTATTCAACCTGCCCACCGCAATTGAAAAGTCGGAAACATATATGCACACATGACCAGTTTTTGTAATAATCGTAGCTCCAGGGACATTGATTTTGATTGCACCGGGACCGGTCGCAAAAAAAAAGCACGCCGCGAATGAGTTTTTCTTCTTCCTCTGCGTCCTGCCCAAACGCACACACCTGTTGTCGCTTTCATGCGCGCCACTTGGTGCGAGAGTTTTTGTGTCTAGCCGTGTCGATTGGCCAAATGATTATTACACTCTCGCCTCCACTTAATGGCCCGAATTGTGATTCGTGGGAAAGAACTCGAAAACTCATTCCTCACTGCTTTTGATCACACGCTGTTTATGGGCTAAAAATATCTGCACGAGCCGCAGGGGTGCTACGTGCCATTTGCCATTTGTGGCGAAGTAAAAAAGTTCACTTTTTCGCATTGGTGGGGTGCAAAGTGGACTGATTTGACTGAAAAAATATCCCCCTTTGCTGATCGCAAAAAGCCTCGCGCGTCCTTCTCCAGCACGCACGGCCCCGACTCAACTAAAATGTTGCCGTCTGCCGCGGATATCGATTGACAGGTCTTTCAACTCTAATGCCAAATTTCGTCCAAATCGTGCATTTGACACAGCAACGCTGTCGCATCATTATATTATGAGAAATGGATCTGAATTTTTACCTTCTCCAATTAACGTCAGATCTCTGACAGAAATCATTAGTCTTAAGAAATATCTTCTTCAAAATTAATTTTCAGCTCACTTCCTGCTTTGAAGCTCTAAAAAAAATTCAGTACATACGAACAAGACACGCAAAAGTTTCTGGTTCTAAGAAATTTCGCAAAAGTTTCGTATAGAAAAATGAACGTGAGAGTTTTCGTATAGCAGCGTTGCTGCAACTATTTTTTGCCCATATAGAGAGATGTGGTAGGAAAAAATGAGGGTAAATTTATTCGCAGGGACGGGCGAATCAGGCGTGAGTGAATCAAAAGAGTTCATGTGCGGATCTGGAGATGCCAGAATCGAATTTTGGCCCTCTGGCCGTCGTGGGAATAAAGGCCGAATGCAAATGAGACGGCGGCCGCGAGGTAATTTTGCGCTTTCAAGGGCAATCGTGACCTTGCAGATTCAAGTTCAAGAAAAATATATAATATTAAATTAGGCAAGACTAATTTAGGTTAAGTCAGTCTAGACGGCGGGCCACCCAAAGCAGGAAGAATGGAAAGTGTGAGAGCAGCTCTATTATTAGATCGCAAGTTGGTTAGCAAGTCATGATTTGAGCATTTCGCTTTTAGCTGATGGCATGAAAAATGGAACGTGAAGCATTGTTTACTTCTGACAGAGTTGCTGTTCATCATAAAAGTGCTCTTCGTTGAATATGTCATTATTCAGGATTCTGGTCTGGAGAGTTGTTTGTTTGTTTCCGAGTGCTTTATAAACTAAACAAAACAAGTTAAAATAATAAACTTTTATCCATTCAAAATCAGATAAACTCACAGGAGGGAGGGGGGATTTTTTTCACGTCCTTTTGGGGCAGGAAAATCGCCCCCACGAAATTTCGAGACCTACCTTGTGCCGAGTTTCAGGCTAATTTTCCTCCAAATTTGCGCATATCAGCCTGGTTTAAATGGGCTTTTGGAGATCCTTGACGACTCGAGCTCAATTAAAATCACTAAAAAGAGCACTTTCAAGAATATAAGCACGGTTTTTAGTGAGATTTCTATTGAAATCCATGAAAAAATGGCAAAAACACCCTTCCCAGCACATCTTGGGCCACCACATGATTTTTCCCACCAGAAATTAACAGATGATTATGGTAAAAGTCACGTGATTGGTCAACCAATAGCATTCATTGTTTACTAAATCGGTGATAATTCACGCCAAATCGTGACAAACGCGTGTTTATTCTGTTCCAGTGCTATTTTAACGCTATTTTCCAACAATTAACATTTGAAAAGGTCTTGAAAGTGATTTTTTCGTGTATCTCAAATGTTGTGGACTGATTTTGTGCCATGAAAAGTTGGCGGAAGTTGCGGAAATCGACGATAAAATCGCCAAAACTGGATTCACCGGACCTGCAGGGCCTTGGAGCTAATGGCCGGAAGAGGTAAGATTTTAGCAATTTTCTCGTGATATTTTCTCCCCGTGAGATTCTTGGCCCAGAAGGATTAGAAAAAAACGACCCACCGTGAGAGTGTATTTGATGATATGAATTGAGCATATATTAATTTTATTTAGCTAAACGTTTTCCATCAAAACAGGTTTCACCAAATTTGTTTATAGCAAATCTGTTATAATTTATTTATTGATGAAATATCCTGCAGAATATCATTTTTTCTGCAGGCTTTTTGCATAGCATGCGAAACATTTAAACCGCAGGGCGCACACTTCTCCAAAAGTCACCGAACAGAAAAGGTTATAGGAATTTTTGCATCTAATGGAAATCGACATAAATATTCTTATAAGCACTACTTTTGGTCCAATAATAGAATTTAACAACAATAATATTTTTAAAAGTTAATTTTGGCGAATGCATATTTAAATACATGGCAAAATTCGTGATACATGATAAGAACAAATACATAGTCAACCGAGGCTCACTGCGATGCATGGAGTCTTTTTGTCACAAGTTTGAGCAAAATTCATGCTAAAGTGGTGGTGCTGTGTTGTATAACGATGCCTTTTTCTTCATAAATTTGTTCTCAAATAAATTGAATGTTCACAATGTATTTTGTAATAATGTGGACGAATAAACACCAAAAATAAAAATTAATAACTTACAGTAAAAATTTATCTTCAATTTAAATATTTAATAACAATTAATTGATATTAAATTTTAACTTTTGTTTTGTTAACAATTTTTCCTATAAATTTTTCCAAGCCTTCATGTAAATTTCACAATTTCTTTAGTTATCAAAAAAATAAAAAAAATTCTCGATAAAAGTAAATTCCTCGTAATCTCTCTGGTCTTCGCTCTGTTTTATCACAATAATCTCATTCATAATGTAGCAACGCAGTGCCTGTTTTATGCAAAAATATCCACCCACGCACAAGTTGCAAACTATGATAAATTGCCTTTGAGGTATAGGCAAATGAACCGTCAAAGTAACTCGTCTGCGTACACACGACCCAGATTTCATTGCTGAGAATCAATCTTTCGCTGCCCTCCTAAAACACACGTGCTATGCACGTAATTCACTCCTTTAATTAGACGGCAGCGTTTCGTCTTTTTTATCCGTCGTGGTGGCGACGATTTTCCCGAGGCCGGCAGCAAAAACGACGAGACACGCGTGTTTCTGTGTACACACAAAAATATAATAAATCCGTCGGGTGTAAAAAGGAGCCAAGATGTGCTGGCCGCGGTCCAAACAGCGGTCATTCGAGCTCTCTTGGTGCGATTCTGTGCGCAACTCGTTCCGCCGACGCATGCATTGAAATAATAGTTCAAATGAAAAGCATGTATAAAAGTTGCGAAACATCTAATTAAGTTTATATGTGAGTTCTACTTCCACTCTTTATGTATTGGTGCGGAAACGGGAGAAAGTTTAAAAACAAAGTTTCTTTAAAAAAATGGAAAAGTTATTTATTTGTACTGTTGAAAACTTTTTAATATTTCTCCTAACATAGCTTTTTGCATCATTGAAAACTTTGATAAGTTAATAAAATTATTAAACAAGTATCTCCTTATAATTTTTGTGGCAGAGTCATCAGAAAAATGAGATTTTCCTTTTAATGCTCCTCAAAGAAATGAAAATCAAGTTAGCACACAATGGCAAAGCAAACTTTTATGAAAGGGAAGAATAACTGTGTTCATTACACTCCTGTTCTGACTGCGCAAAGTCACTTCAAAGTGCTCATCGCGATGAGCTAAATCGTTCTACTTTTCAAAATAACTTCATCCGACAAAACCCTTGCTTTTCTTCCCACTGAGCATTATTTAATATCATAAAGACTTCGTTAAGAGCTCATCCTTATTGAAAGTGATACTTCTTTCTCTTACGACCGAGTGCCTCTTTCCTTGTCCCCATGACAATGATTTTCCATGTTTTTTTCTTGTCATCTGCAGATGAAATTTATATAGCTCAAGGATGCTTTGCTGCAACTCGTCACAAAGTGTTTATGTGAAGACTTAATGGCGTGTTGAATTTTAATCTTCCTGAGTGTATACGCGCTCTGTCTGTCGAGGATTCATTAAGGGGCTTTTGTCTTTCCGCCTTTTAAAAGTGCCGCCGCATTTAGCATCTTGAGACTTGATCTTTTGTCTTTTGTCCTTTGCTCTGGCAAAAAGCGAAGTTTTCCGGAAACAAAGAGCCCAAGACAGACTCCCAAAATTAGGAAAATATATATCCGAAACAAAGCAAGGACGCGAAAGCACAAATTAAGAATCTTAACTCGGCTATTATGAAACGCACCACAGCTGGAAATATGCTCCTTAATAAAAAAGAGAGTGAGTTTAATTAAATTTGAGAGAGAGCACAAAAAAGCGCGCCCTCCAGCATAAACGCGTTAATCAAGTTTTGATTAATTACTTTTTTCTTTAAAACTTTTCCAATTCTCTGAAAGTTGAATTATTCATTCGGTGTAAACGGTATGTCGGGGTTTTATTGCTTTATTATTTCTTCCAATTATTTCACTTTTGTTCTTTTACTGCTGCCAGTTCTTGCTCACCCTGTCTAGCATTTTGCCAGTGGTGAGGAACAACGCGGAAAATAATAAAAGAAAGAAACGCACGCGCGAGCAAATTCAAATTAGCCAAGCAGCCCTCTCTGCAACATGTTGGAGTGATGAATTATCGTTTCGTGAGCATTTGACTGATCCATGGCGGCGCGAGCGTGTAATTTTTATTTAATCTTCTCGCCAGCTGCGCTCGAGTTCACTTTTTCAGCGCAAAAATCGACGCAATTATGCGTGAATTTCTCAGATTAAGCAAAAAGAGAAGGGAGAGCTTTTTTGCATCCAGCAGTTTTTTTCGCTCCAAAGAATGAACACAAAGTTGGTGGTGCATTATTTATGCGTCGGTTTTCTCTTTTACTTTGTGTATTTTCCTTTTCGCCTTTGCTTTTTTGGGCCAATCAAACGAAAGCCAGCAGACAGACAGACGTGGCGCGGCAGCGAGTCGGTCTTCGTTTTTATTGCCGGGTTATCTGGAGATGAACTGCCTTACTGACAGAGCCCACAACAAAACACTTGCCAGCCGAGAGAATAAACTAAAAATACAGCTGAAATTGACAAAACTGGGCCATTTGAGAGATGCGAGGAATGCGCTCTGCGCACAGCTAATGGACCAGCGGCAAGGAATTGACGCACTCGCGTCACAGACGACGAGGAACGTGGGAGCAAAAAGCAGAGGAACGTTTTTAAAGTGAGAATAAATTCACTCGAATTGACTTGAATCAAAAGTTTTACTGTGAATCATTTTGTTATTTCGAATTTCCAAATTCTTTTATGAAATTTGTGTCTCTGTTTTTTCTGACGAGAAACGTTTATTTTTTTTTTATGCCAAAAACTTTTCAAGCACGTAATGCGGGGAAGTGGAGCGGAATGGTAATTTATATTCAATTTGCAACGACAACAGAAAGTCAAATACTGGTGTGGTCCCCTTTTTCCCTTTCGCCAGTGTCACTTTCCGCGCGGGAAATATGATTCCGGGATTTTCCACGCCGACGAGCTCTGAATGGGCCGCGGGATTTAAACGAAAGCTCGCTGACGAGAGCAAACTTTTTTCCCTTTCTGCGCCGCACATTCATGGCGACCCCAAACCTTACTTTCGTTCTTTCTTCGGGGACGGTGAAAAAAACCAATAAAATAATTCACGCGCCGGAGGGCACCATCTGCATTTGGATAGAAGCTTTGTTTCTGCCGCCACATGCACTTCTTCGGCCGCCATCGATTTTCGTTTCGCTCACTTTACGTCTTGTGACGTCACCATCTCATCCTCGCTTAACTGGTCGTCGATGCTTAATTAAAAAGCTGCAGGGGTTGGCACCACTTAATTTACAACTGGCAGGCCCATTCCTCGCCCCCGATCGAGGGAAAACCTGCATGCGCCTAGGCCTCTGCATGCCCCGATTTCAAATTAACGTCAGAGTCTCTCAGAGGGTTCGAAAGAAGATACGAAATCGCACAGGGATTTCAAGTGCAACAGGGCTTATTGGTTTTAAATTGAGCAGCCAAGCCACCCTTCGACGGTTAAAATTTGAAAAAAAAAAAATTAATTTTTTAAAGCTTCTACCAAATTTTTTTGGAGTTTTAAGTTTTTTATTTTATTTAAAAAAAAATATTTAAAATTTCTAGTTTTTTATTATTTATTTTGTAGTTTTACAATGAGAATTTGCATGTAAGTAAAGTAGTCGTTTTTATAATATGTAGGAATAATTTTTTCTTTCATAATTAATTGGAAAGGTTTATTAAATCAAAATGCTAAAATTATTTTCATTTACAAAAAGACAATTTTAGATCCATAAAATCAATACATTTTTTATTTTTATTTTTTTTTTAAATTTTGACTCCATAAGTTTCAACAAACAACATCAAGTTATTTGTTTCGAGAATGTTCATTATTCTTGTTGCTTTTTTCCACCCCAATACTAGTTTACAAGCATTGTAAGCTCATTTCGTTTGCAAAATCGATATTCGCCCCATTCACAACAGTGGCTGCTGAAAGATAATAAAATCGTCGCCCTCATGGTTGATCTGCTGCAGCTGAAAGCAATCAGGTCGTGCGAATACAATGAATATTTCCAAGATTTACGACTCTCTCAGCCGTCCTTTCTC